GCCCTCCCACCCCCTACGGGTCCTATGTGAGATCTGGAATCAAGGGTATATCTGCCTCTCTGAGTCAATGCTTTAAGCCACTGCCCTGTAGGGCTACCTCGGAGAGTTAAAAGTAACACAGAAAAGATCAAGTTCTTACATTTGACATCAGCAAAGGGCACGTGGCAAGTACAGCACGCCCTCAAGAAACGCTAAGTTGGGGATGCCATGCCATTCCTCCACTGGAACCTCCCATAACAGGTGAGGCTGAAATCTTTCTGTCTATTGACTTCATACACAGCCAGTAACCCTGACAGCTCATATCCGTTCCTTACCAAGTGCCTGCCATGTGCCGAGTGGCACGACATGAGGCACCAGGCGTCATCTTCCCACCAACCCCACACACTCTGCCCTATGTGGAGACCCTTCTCAATAATTCAGCCAAGTACTCAAGGCAGAAAGCTTAAGAAACAAAATAAATAAAGGTGCAGAGGAGAGCTTACGTTTCTTTTCTCTGACTTAAATTTTCTACTTGGAAAATGGACAGCATGTCTGTTTCTCTTTGGCATTGACTGATTTTCACTAAATTTAGTGGACAGCACTTTGTTTATTTATAAGGCAGTCTGTCATCTTAAAAACCTAGAAGAGCGGTCAAATTTTTAAATGAACCGATGTCCTATGACTGTGCTTCACAAAGCATTCGTGGGACTGATAAAGCATTAATCAATGTTAACAAAAGTAAAAATTCCATGTTTTCTATTAAGTAATCCAAGACAGCGAAGAACTTGAAACATTATTTCTATTTGGCATGACATGTGCAGGCAGGCAGTAGTTTCGAAATGAAGAGCCTGGACCCTCAAGTCAGCCTGGTCTGACCCTGGCTCCCCCACGGGCTTGGGGAAGTTCCTTAACGTCCTGCACTCAACCACAGAGGCTGTCTCCTCACTGGTAAAATGGGTAGAACAATGTGTATGTGAGTCAGAGGGTTGTGGGAGGCTAAACTGCAGAGCAGGTTGTAAGTGGGTGGTCTCTTTCTGTGCTGCTCAGGCAAATGACTACCATTTGTTTGTATTTGCTGAGTCAGGTGGGGCAGAGCTTAGGAAGAGATGCCCCTAAAGATATCGCCCCGGGATCGTTTGCTAAGAAAAATGTACATGCGCATAATCTCGATCATTCTAGTAATTACTCTTGGATATACTAACTCAGAGAAGAACTTGCTGTGCTATTGGAATCTCTCCTTTTTCTAATACCTGGATCTCAGCTTCCACATTTCTATTCATGAATCCTTACAAATGAGGAGAAACATCGAGGCAATCTGACATAATATAGAGAAGCAGGTTAGCTAACTAGATTGAAGTTTCAGGTGGGACAAGATGTTTTTACGTGGCTGGAGGAACAAACAGTAATACAGGTTTCTGTTGGGAGGGGATTAGCAGGAGGGGTGTAAGAGAGAGAATCAGTATGTAGATTGGATTGAATGTCCTAATGAAACCAGTTCGGAAAAGGAGTTAGGCCATGTGACTGGCACCTGGTCGGGGTATGTGGCATTGCTGAAGTGGCAATCCAGGTCTTTTCACCCAGAGTTCAGTGACACAGGTATCATCCCACGATTTGCTGGGTGTCAAAAGGGTGGTTTATGTGTCTGACCTTTGGAAACTGGGGTGCTATTATCAGGAACACTACTTCTCCTGGACTTTCATAAGTACCGCCATAGTATGCCATGCATTTACTAATCCGTCCTCCGGTCATTGAACAAATATTCACTGAGAGCCTACTGTGTGCCAGACATCGTGGTGGACGCTAAGATATAACACTAGAGTGCTCCGTAAATATCCAGAATAAGTTAATAGTAAAGAATTCAGTGCTTACTGCACAATAAAACAAGATAAACTAAAGACTCGAGTTAAATTCTGAAGTTATCACTCGTGGGTAAGGCATGTGTGTGGGGTGGGTATGTGCTTGATGCTTAATTTAATAAGCAATGAAAGACACAGAGCAAGGAGCTGACGCTCTGCAAAGCACACCTCCACCACTGCTATTTATTTAATGAATACTCCTGGGCACGCTTTAAATTGAAAGATGGTTCATTAGACTTGTGCATCTGCCCTTCTCAGCAATCTGTTGTGTTTCTGATGAAGACAGGAAAAAATACGAACATATTTTCGGGTATGTTATGAGTAACTCAGCTTCCAATGATGACAAAGTCATCAAGAGCTCAGGATGCCTAATTTCAGGAAAACAATTTGTCTGAATCATTCTGTGCCCATGCCTAGTGAGTCCTCTTCTCATCTTGGATATTTCAAGCACTAGCCCTCAAAAAACCAAAAACAAACCAATTGCCTAATACATTATCTTCAAGCTATAAAAATAAGCATATTTGTAAGATATCAAAAAATGAATCCCTTAAAAAATGGCTCAAAAATCAACCTCCTGATGTTTTCCCCTTTTGTCCTAATCACGGCAACCATTACTTCCTCTGGACCCCTCTCCGCATTACACATTCATCCCCTGCAATCTGCCCTGGGGGCTGTTAGCCATGGAGTCAGCTGTGTGTGTATATAAATTAGCTCTTTGAAAGAAAAGAAAACATCTTTCAAAAAACAAAAACAGGGCCGGCCTAGTGGCGCGATGGTTAAGAACTGGCTTGGGATGTCAGAGGGCCCCGGTTTGGATCCCACATGAGGGCCAGTGACACTGCCCTCCACAGCTAA